TAATCAACCCTTGTTGTTTGCTAGGTCTATCATGGCAAAGTACAAAGTGAGTGGCTTAAACAACAGAGACTTACTGTCTCACAGTTCTGGAGGCTGTAGGTCCAAGACCATAGTGTTAACTAGATTGGTACTTTTTAGGAAACAGTTCGTCCCATTTCTCTCTCCTAGCAGTCTTTGACATGTGCTGGCTTGTGGATCCATGCATTTATCTTTGCATGGCTTATTTGTATCCAAATGTCTTTTTTTTTTTTTTTTTTTGCCTGGTGCTTGGGATGGAAACAAAACCTTCACAATGAGCTGCATCCCAGCCCCCCTTTTTTTTTAAACATGAGGATATTGATTATATTCGATTAGTCTACCCTAAAAATCTCATCTTAACTAAATACATGTACAGCAACACTGTTTCCAAATAATGTCACATTCTGAGATAACGAGGGATTCGGATTTCAGTACATAGATGGGGAGGAAGGAACATAACAATCAACCTATGATGGGCTCTTTCTCAGAGCAATAGATTTAATCTAATGGGGTACAATTTGTCTTTTTACAAATTACGTTTTTGGTATCAAGTCTAAAAACTTGGCAAGTCATAAATCCCAGATTTTCCCGTTTTTTTTTTTTTTCCTAAAAGCTATATTTTACATTTATTCTAATATTTATATTTTACATTCAAGTCCATGATTCATTTTTGAGTTGTGTATAAAGTTTGTAAGACTTAAATTGAGTGGGTTTTCTTTGATATCCAATTGTTTCAGTACCATTTGTTTAAAAGGATATTTTTCCTTCATTGAGTTACCTTCACATTGTTGTCAAGAATCAGTTGAGTGTATTTTCGTGGGTATATTTTAGCATTCTCTACTCTGTGCATTGATCCATGTGTGTATCCTTCTGAAGGTACTACAGTCTTCATTGCTGTAGCTGTATGATTTTGAAATCAGATAGATTGATTCTTTTAGTTCATTCTTTCTTAAAATTGCACTAACTATTGTACGTCCTTTGTCCTTCAGTGTGTATCTTAGAATGATGTTGTTAGCTATATCTAAAAAAAAAGAAAATTTCTAAACTCTTTTTTATTTTCTTTTGAGACAGGGTCTCTCTATGTAGTTGATGCTGGCTTTGAACGCAGTCTGTAGCCCAGGCTGGCCTCAAACTCCTGAGTGCTAGGATCACAGTTGTGTACCACCATGCCCAATTCTAAATTTTTGATTGCTGTTATTTCTCTGGTTACTAAGACAAAATATCCAACACCCAAAGTTAAAGGAGAAAAGGTTTATTTTGGGTCACAGTTTGTAGACATTTCAGTCCATAGTTGGCTGGCTCCAGGGTAGGGCGGCATGGCAGAGGGGCATGACAGAGGAGAAGCAGTGCATGGCAGAGCAGGCAGGAAGCAGTAACTAGCAGCAAGCCTCCGTTTCCTTTTTATCCTATCCAGGCTACAAGCCTTTTGGGTAGTACCACTCACACCCAGAGTGGGCTTTCCAATTATCCATATCCAGAATTAGGCTCAATCAGTCAGTGGACTAGTTACCACACCCTTACTTATACCTTGCTTATACTTACCACACCCTTATACTTACTACACCCTTACTTATACTTATTCATATACCCTTAATCCACATTTGCACACCCCAGATATAACCACATCAAAAAACCTTACCTGTGAGCACATGAGGCTTTGGGAGGACATCTAGATACAAGCCATAATAATTTGAATTACATTAAACTTACACACTAATCAAAGGAGCATTGACAGGTTTAGAATATTAACTCTTCCAATCCAAGAACATGATATCTCCATATTTATTTAGATTTCCCTGGATTTCTTTCTTCTATATTGTGTGGTTCTTTTTAGCATACATGTCCTATATTTCATTGGTATATTTTTAATTCCAGTGTAAATGAAATTTTAATTTAAATACACTATATTTTTTGATCAGCCTTGATATTGCTCATCCTTATTTGTTAATATTTGGTAAGGATTTTGTGTCTATTTTCATGAGAGATGTTAGTCTGTAGTTTTCTTTTTTGTACTATTTTTATCTGATTTTGGTATCAGGCTAATCAGAGTCACAAAATGCATTGGAAATTCTTCCCTCCTATTCTGTTTTACGAAAGACATTGCATAGAATTGGTTAGTTCTTTAAATGTTTATTAGAACTTGCCAGTGAAACCACCCAGGCTGGAGGGTTGTTTGTTTGTTTGTTTGTTTTGAGAGAGTGTTTTAAAGTTATGAACTTAGTTTCCTTAATAGCTACAGGAATATCCAAATTACCTATTTCCTATGGGGGGTTTGTAATAATTGGGGGTTTTGTGGTGGTGGTGGTTTTTTTAGTAATTGGTGCATTTCTTTTCAGCTGTCAACTTTATACATACACAGTTATTCAGAGGGTTTCCTATACTATCTTTTTGATGTCTAAGGTTCTATAGTGATGCTTTTATTTCATTTCTGATATTGGTCATTTGTGCCTTCTTTTTGTCAGTCTTGCTGAAGGTTTGTCAGTTTTATTGATATTTTTCAAAGACCAGCTTTTTGCTTCATTTACTTAACCTTTCCATTTTCAATTTCATTAATTTCTTTTCTTCTTTCAGACTTATTATGCTCTTTTTTCCTTGGTTTTTAAAGTGGAAGCTCGAATTATTAATTTGAAATTATCTCATTTTCTAATCTATGCATTTAATTCTGTCAGTTTTCTTCCCAACACTTCCAGTGGCTGGGTCCTGAAGTATTAATAGGCTATTTTCTCATTTTCACTCATTCAATCTCATTTTTTTAAGTTCCCTTGATGCTTTTTGAACTTCGATTATTTAGAAGTATGTTATTTAAGTTTCCAGGTGTTTAACTGGAATAATGGAGTATATTGTCTGTCTTGTTTTATGGCCCAGAATATGATCTATCTCAGTATTAACTAAGACAATACAAAGTGTAATATTTCTGTTAACAGTAAATTTTTTCAGAATTCCACTTAGATTTAATCTGTGGTTCTAAAATGCACTTCTTTTTATACCGTTTTAGCGGTTGCTCAAGTTACTGCATTATGCATAGCTTATTTTAACAGCTAGGATGAGGTATACAACTCTTACCTCCCTTTGTGCCCTTTTACCCTCCCTCACAATTGTCTTAAAAATTTCCTCTACCTACATTTCAAGCTTCACCAGTGTTATAATTTTTGCCTCTGCCTTTAAATATAATTTAGAAAACTCATGAAAAAAAGGAAACTTTCTGTTTTTGTACCTATTCTTACACGTTCTGTTCCTTCTTCCTGATAGTCCAGGATTCCTTCTTGTTCTAGAAAAATGTGGTGTGAAAGAACTAGCTGCTGTATGCCAAAGGTGCCAAGAAACCAAAGAAAGACCCCAGGCACATTCATGGCCCTGACAGTGCCCGGATTCTGCATGTCATGCTCCACAACATGTGCTGGCAGACAATGGGAAGGGGGCATTGTTCTTCAAGGGCAAATCATGACGGTTATAATTCAAGATGGCAGCAGCAGTCCTCAAGCTGGATCCCTCCGCCTTTTAATTCTTTTCTGTTTAGAGAATGTCATTTTGCCATTATTCTGTGGTAGATCTAGTGACAGGTTTTTTTTTATATTATCTTTTTATCAGTGAATGAATCAACGTCTTGCTTTCCTCTTCATTCATGAAGGCTGTTTTTTCTGGCTGTAGGAATCTAGGTTGGCAGTTCTTTGTTTCCTTTCATCACCTAAAAAATATCATGCCGCTTCCTCTGGTCTCTGTGTTTTCTGGTAATTGTTTACTTCAAAGTGTTGTTTCTCTCTTACTGCTTTCAAGTTACTTTCACTTCGCCCTTCATTTTTAGAAGTTTAATTATATATCTTGCTGTGGGCCTTTTAAGTATTATATTTTTCAGATCTAAAATTTCTATTTTATTCTTAATATCTTCCATTTCTTTGCTGAGTCATTCTCCTTTTTGTTTCAAGCTCATTCATAATTACATATTGAAGTGTTATTATCAGGACTGCTTTAAAATCTTTTGTCATTCAACTTGAGGTCTTTCAGGTTCCTCATTTAATAAGTGGTTTTTATTCACACCTGGACATGCTCACATTAAGCTCTGAACCTCTGAATCCTACGTTTTAGCTGGCTTTCTCTGACATTGCTCGGGTAAGGAAAGCAGGAACTACCTGAGTGGTACCAGTTAGAAGTAGCAGAACAGGGGCTGGGGATTTAGCTCAGCGGCAAAGCGCCTGCCTGGCAAGCGCAAGGTCGTGAGTTTGGTTCCCGGTACCGGAGAAAAACCAAAAAAAAAAAAAAGAAGTAGCAGAACAGCTTCCCCGCTGACTCCTGCTGGTATCTGAATGGAGTGGCTTCTTGTTTCTGCTGGGTGTTGGTAGCAGCTCTGTCCCTCTAATGGTCTTCGTTAAAATCACAGGGTGATGAGGCTTGGTACTGACTGGTGAGGAAAAAGACGCCAGCAGCCTCCTTGGCCTTCTGTGATACCAGTCCAGCAGCGGTGCGGGGACCCTCATTACAGCCTTGCAGGATTCCCTCTCAGCCGCTAGTGACATCGGTGGGGTGGCTTCACAGTGACACGTGGCTGAACTAGAGCAGTTACTGGACTTGGTACTATGTCTCCAGATAGTGACAAAGATTTGGAGTTTTTTTTTTTTTCTTATGCTCACTGGCATTTCCACGTTGCCCTCTTCAATTCAAAATCTGGGATCTCTGAGGCAAAAAGAAAACCCAGCGAACTCACCATTGTGTGGTCACTTGGCTCTCAAGGCCCTAGGTGATCTACCTTTTCTCTTCCCCTTTTAGAGTCTTCTTACATTTGTTTTCTGTATAGTGCCTAGGGATTTCAGTTTTCTTAGCAGAAAGAGTAGAGAAAAGTATGTCTAGTCTGTCTTCCAAGATGTGAAAATATCATATGTTCCTTTAAATCTTAAGTCTCAAATATGCCATGTAATGACTAAGACAATATTATTCAAAAACATGTGTTTTCAGCCTTGACTCTTTTTCCCATGTGTGAATTAATTTAGGCTTCCTCGAAGGATGTTGTCAGGCAGCTGTGTCAAGACAGCTTTTCCAGTTCAGCCCTTGGCTCAAAAAAACTCTTGGACATGACGTGTTCCAGCTTGTCTGTGACTCAGGAGGAGGCAGAGCGCGTAAGTATGGTCAGAAACGACCTGTGGCCAGTTGAGCTGATCACTTGTTAATCTCTGTTTTGACTTCCCAGTTGTTGCCATGTCCTAAAGAATTTCCTCCTGAAGAAGCTGTTAACAATATAGATTTTTTTTTTAATATTAGTGAACTCAGAAGCTTTTGTCTTTGAACATCCCCTTATGATCAGCAAGGCATAGATGGGGCAGCGATACCCAGGGGCAGAGCTCTGATCATTTTCTTTTCAGACAGTGGAGACAAAAGCCAGCCTTGGTGACTTCTCTTTCCCAGCCTGTAACTTGCCGATGATGGTGACCTGTCAGCTGGATAGCTGAGGGCAGACTTTTCAAGGATCGTAGGGCAGAAGTGTGGAGGTCAGAGCTGAATACCACTGGGTTCACTCGGGCTTCTCCGTGGGGCTTTGGGTACCACACCCTTCTCATCCCTCTGCCCCACGGACATCTCCCGTGCAGGTCACCTGATCTCAGCAGGTGACCAAGAGGAGGTGACTCATCCTAACTAATGCAGCAGGGACAGCCTTACCTTTTTGAGGACAGATAATGCTTCTAAAACTGGCATCTCTTCATCCAAATAGGCTGGTGGTGCTATTTCTTTCATCAGAAATTTTGCTCATGGAAATCTGTACAGAATAGTACAAGGCAGAGACCAGAGTATGGAAGTGAGTCGGAAACTTAGTTTTGATTCCCGTAAAGGAGACACTGAGGTGAGGACTAGGTACAGCTAGTTTTCAGGCAGTGATTCTAGACAGCACAAAAGAGGAGGCAGGAAAAATCAAATAGGGGAGGGAGGCGAGCCCATAGAGTGTCGTTGAGTTGTGCGCTGACTCCCACCCCTCACTGGTAGAGGGTTAACTTCCCCTCACTTCTGGCTTGTGTCATCCAGTGAAGCAAGCTCCTGGTGTACCAGAGAAACAGGTACCTCCAGAGCTTGTTTGGCTCAGCGGAACGTCATCATAGTCACTGTAGGCCTCACTGGACGGCAGATCCACAGGGACTCAGGATGGGAACACACAGCAGGGCAGGGTCCACACTCCCTTCCCAGGGGTGGTCCGCACAGCCAGCCAGAAGCTGTTTGTTTTCTTTGTCCTTCCAAGTGACAACTTAAGGGCAAGGACATGAGACTCCTGCCACCCAGGATTCAAAGCCCGTACTCCACAGGAACCGGTATGTCCTGTTGCAAGGAGCTTACAGCCCCACTCGGGGGCCTGGCACTGTGGGCCCCAGCTATGTGCTCAGGCCTTTCGGTCCAGAAGGCACTGGACCGGTGCGGGGTTGCCTAGTAACACAGCTAACTTTCAGCTTCTCACAGGTTACCAGGGAAACAGTCCCAGAAAGTTAACTGAAGGTCAGATACTCCCACAGAAGGAAAAGGGGTGTATTAACCGTTAGTCCATGTATAGTTTCCCGCTATCCGGCAGCTTCGGAAGCCAGGCAGTGGCGTCAGTCTTGGCCTGGGGTGGCCGGGACACATGGAGCATCAGCATCTGCTACAGGTGTCCACGCTTCTGTGACTCATTCAAGCACCTGTGTCAGTGTCCAGCCCTGAACGCTGCCCCTGCCCCGTGTTCCGCCCCGTCCCACTGCTGCTGCAGCTCCAGCCCTGCCCCTCTGTCTTGCAGCTGCTCCAAGCTCTGCACCGCCTCACCAGGCTGGTGACCTTCCGGGACCTGTCCTCTGCTGAAGCGATTCTGGCTCTCTTTCCAGAAAATTTCCACCAGAACCTCAAAAACCTGCTGACAAAAATCATCCTAGAGCATGTGTAAGTCCTCACTTTTTAGAGTTTCTTCTTTTATGTCATTACTTGCATTTTCTGGTCTAGAAATAAAACTGTATATTCATTGTTGAAAAATTAGAAATGACACCTAGAAGCCTACTGCCTAGAAATTAGCAGTATGAATTCCTTAATGGAAATTCTTTTATGACATTTATTGTTTCTCTTTACATATGTAGAGAGGTTATTTTATTTCTAACAGAAAAACATGCCATTTTATAATTTGTTTGTTTTCAATTAATAGTATCAACATAAATGATGTTTCAGGTCAACAAATATTTACCTTCAGTATCAGTTTAAATTTTTAATTGTTAAATTTAAATATACTCCATTATATGAAAGAATTGGTTTTAAAATTCCTTTGTGGTGTACATTTAGGGTATTAGCAGTTTTTCACTTTAGGAAACAGCTTATAGTAGAAACTTTGCTCCTGTATTTAATGAGTCCCTTACTGGACCAGAGGCTTTGAACATGTGGCTTTCGGCCTTGTATGATGGAGCTGGCCGTCAGAAAGGTGGCACCCCTTTCCACCAGGAGGACGCAGCATTCCCTTCTCCTCTCACCTTTACTCAGTAGATCTTTTCTTACCTTTTTTTCCCAGTTCCTTAAACACCAGTTGCTGCCTCATTTCAGTTTACATACCTTTGAGACTAGTGATGTTGAATGGCTTTTTCTTGTGTTTATCAGTCAGTTTTAATTTGTTTTGTGAATTATCTGCACATCTTCTGAGCCGGCCAGATCTTTACCCCCCCACGCACACACACACACGTAGAATTGACATTGTTTCGCAGAAGGCTTGAACAGACACATAGAACTGACATTGTTTCGCAAAAGGCTTGAACAGACTTGTACTAGTAATAACTAATAATGCCTATTTTCAAGGGTGTTGTTATTTATTTGGAGCTATTTTGTACATGACCACATTCTGTTCTGACTCTCTTAGCGTCTCACTGATGATGTTTGCTGTAGCGTCAGCCAGATCTGTTTGGCGTGTCTTGCGTAAGATGCAGTACTCTATGTATTCAGTGTTCACTAGGGGACACATTGACCTTTTCTCTGTTTGTCATTGAGAAAAATAAGGCAATAAGATTACAATGCAATAAGCCTTTTGTTTTTTGTTCTAAGTCTTAAAAACTAATAGCACTTATAGCCTTAACCTCAGAGAACTTTGTAAAACAAATAAACAAAAACCTGTTTTTAGGAGGGCGAGTTTTCTAAGGTCCTTTCCTGTTAAGAGGTCTGAAGAGCATAGGAAAGTCAGAGGCTCAGGTTTCTCTCATTTTGAGAAAATGCAATTTTGCCTCTTGTTTTCCATTATTATTTCTTCATCTTTTCCTCTTAAACAGATCTGCTTGGAGAACTGAAGCTCAAGCAAGTCAAAGTGAGTACTCCTTTCTTCCCTCTGTCCCCAACCCTAGCTCTGAAGCTGCCAAGTGACCAGAGACTATAACAAAAAATCAAAAGAAATGATTCTAATCCCAAACCACTCTTGTGCGTTGTGCATTTCTGAGGTGACACTCTTCCTAAGACTCAGGCCATGACATCTTCTGTGCCTTGTGTCACTTTTCATTCTGTTGTGACATCTGGAGGGTTGGGTTTTCAGGCAGAAGCCCGGTGAGTAAGGCCCAGACCTTGTTGGTCATCACCCCATCTGTGTCTTTCAGAGATTTGCTGCATAGATCAAATGTATTTTATGTATACAGCCTTTAGAGCCACCTGCCAGAGAGGCCTGGCAGACACGGGTGGCGTGAGCTAGCTCTGAGCCAAGCTGTCTTTCCACAGTCTCTCTGCCACGCCTCGTTGACCTGGACTGGAGGGTGGATATCAAAACCTCCTCAGACAGCATCAGCCGCATGGCCATTCCCACCTGCCTGCTCCAGATGAAGGTGAGTCCACCGCCATGCTCGTTAGACGGAAAATGGGGGCAGCAGTATCCTGGGCTCCCATGCCATCTGTGACACGAGCTGCTAACATCCTCATAAGTTAAACAAGCAAAACATAGCATCCCCCAGATGTGTCTGCTTATTCACAAATTACACTACTGTATTAACATACTGTGAACATACTAGAACACACACTGAAAGTAGAAGTTTTAAAACAGCAATGCAAAACATTTCGTTATTTATTTTCTGATGCCTAAAGGTGTACACTAAGTGAGAAGTTTAGCTTTAACAGTAGGAACATGCATTCAGATTTGACAAAGCCTTCTGGATTTTTGCCAACTTCTTAACCAGTAGGGTAGGCCATACCCTTGGCAGCTGGCTGATCAAGCTGCTGTTGGTAGGGACGTGTCAGTTCTTCATTTTCTTGTTCATGTGCCCTTGTTATTATCTTCACGTTATAGTTGTTTCAGGAATCTCTTACAGTCACACCCACTTTATAAAACTAGCTAAAACTAGACAGTGCATTGCTGTGTCTGCTTCAGCAGTCACCCAGAAATGTAAGAATATGAAGAAGTAAAGAGACCTCTGACTGCTCTTTTAGGTAGCAGTAAGGCTTAATTTGTTTCTCTTTTAAAGGTGAGATTTAGAAGTCTAGAAGCTGCAATATTTTTCCTGCACTCAGTGGATTATTTTGTGTACCCCACAGAGCCCACTTCTTAAAGTGTGAACATGCGATGGGTCACTTGGGTACCGAGCCTTAGGGTGTTGGCGAAGGGGCACGTCTCAGTGTGGCCTTCTCCAGTATGCACCTAGGCCCTGTTGTAGGCGGAAAGTGACACAGGCCTGTGAGCCTCCCCTCCACCTTCCCCAGTTGCTGGCTGTGAGAGCTCAGGCTCCCTGCGCCTCTCAGCAGAGAGCCTGTCTGCAGAGGTGCAGCAGGACTGAGTGGGTTTCCATACAGGGAGCCGGGGAGAGAGAAGGCTTTGACTGTAGGCCATGTTCTCTCTGCAGATCCAGGAAGATCCCAGTCTGTGCGGGGACAAACCCTCCACCTCTGATGTGACCGTGGAGCTGAGCAAAGAAACGCTGGACACTATGTTAGATGGGCTGGGCCGCATCCGAGACCAGCTTTCTGCTGTGGCCAACAAATGAACCGGTCAGCTGCCAGTGCCACTGCCACGTCCCGGCCGCATCAGTAACAAAGCCTCCCCTTGAGGCCACGGCTTGGCTGACAGCTGGCAGGGTGGTGGGATGGAGGGACTGGTGCCATCCACCAGGCACAGGCAGATAGGGAGATGCAGCCGGATCCTTGCTGTTCTCTCCTGTTTTTCTCTTTCTGAAGCAGATGAACAGAAGCCTCCACCTTTGAAAGGCTCCTGGGTGCGGGCCGATCACTGTTGTGCAGTGTAAGGGAACACATGCTCCATCAGCTGCCTCTGCATGGCTGTGTGGGGCATTCGTGCCCGCACCATGGAACTTACCTAATGAGTTCATTTCCAACCCGGGAACAAACGGAAGCAAACGAACGAGGCCAGCTGCTCCTGCCCCTCTGGCAGAAAAGCCAGGCACATCTCACAGAGCTGGGTCCCCGCAGCGTGGTCCCTCCCGGGTGTCCCCTGAGCTCCCTCACCCTGCTGGACCATCTCCCCAGCTTGCGAAGTTTGAATCGCTCCTGGGGGAGAGGTGAGAATACTGTAATTGGAAATAAATAACAGGTTATGATTCTGGTCATGATTCTTTTCACCTCCATTGTTGCCCTTGGCCAGTGCTACCTCGTTCTTGAAGATCTCAGCTTCCTGATTCCCAGCCAAGCCCATGACCTCTGGTGTGGCATAAAACCAGGTATAAGAATCCTCTTAGCACCCTCCTCACCTTTGCTGGTCACATGGAACAGAAAGGAGCAGAGTTAACAGTCAGTCTGCACTTGGCACAAGAGCCAGGAGAGCAGCGCTCCTTAGACGCTAAGGATAGAAGCTCATCCCTGCCATGTGCTTCACATACCACGCGGACCCCATGCGAGAAGACCTTTTCTTGTTCTTTATCCACATCATCCCTGTGCCCATAGCTTGCAGTCTGCTCTCTAAGCCCTGTACTTTGGCAGCTTCTCTAACGGGGTGTGCATGGAGTGGGTGGAGGTGTGAGACCGCAGGTTAAGAATACATTGTGTACTTGGGGCTCAGGCCACTAGGATCTGAAACTAGGTTTGCTTCTTTGTAACTCAATTCTCACCCTCTTTTTCTTTTTACTTTTTTTTATTAAATAAGTATAATAATAGCACCTACTTCATAGAACTTGTCATCAGATTAAATGATACAACATACTTAAAAGCACTTATTCTACGGCTCATAGGAAAGGCTCAATGATGTTAGCTTCGATTATTAATGGGAATGAAAGTACAAAGTTCTGCACGTTCATTGTTCCGTCTACTGTAACAGCTATATGAGAAGGAATGCTATTATCCTGCCTTTATTGATGAGGAAACCAGCTCATTGAGGTTTAGTCACCTGCTGGGAAATGGCCTCATTAGGACTTGGGCCCAGATTTCTCCAACTTTCTGTTACACAAGACTCAGCAAGGGGCGCTGGAGTTCTGTACTGAGCTTCATTTGGAAAAATTTGAAACTGAAGTAGTGAGGAAAAGGCTTAGCTCTGCTCACTCAGTGAGATGCCAGGAAGTTAAAACAAATTTCAACACCCTCTTCGCCTCATGTCTCCTGGAAGCGGAGTGACCTCTTTTTAAAGTGGCTTAGCCAGTCGTGGTGGTGCATGTCTAAAAATTCCAGCACTTTGGGAGGTTGAGGCAGGAGGATCACAAGTTTGATTCCAGCCTGGGCAACTTAATGAGACACTAGCTCAAAACTTAAAGAGGCCTGGGAATGTAGCTTAGTGCAAAGGCTCTGGGTTCAGTCCCTAGTAGTATAAGAAAAAAAGCAGTTGTGAACCTTTCCGGAGCCATACCATTGCCAATCTGTTGGAAGCTGTAGATTCTTTCTGTGGGAAATGAACATTAAATTTCTTGCATGCTGTGATGGTTTGGGGACCCTTTAAGCCAGTCTCCTACTTCCAGGTTGAGAGCCCCTGATTTTACCCTTAGGTTGAGTTTGGCCTTGTCATGAATTCATCCCTCTCTTTTCCTTCTACTCTGTGACCTACAAACAGGTCTCAAATCCCTGTGGTCTTGTCCTTTCAGACACTCATAAGAAACTAACTTCACTCGAGGAGCCCAGCATAGGGATCCAGGCAGTTGGACATTCTTCCACCAGACTGAGCTGTGCAGAGCCATCTGAGTGCATGACACCTGTAGGGTGTTCAGTACATGTAAGGAAAAGTCCGTGAATGCTTACTACCCCTTGTCTCACCTGCTCAGTTAAGGGCTTTGTCCTTTGCTCTTAGCGAGGCAGGATTGTCTGTAGGTGCCATGTTTCTGGTGGGCCTGATCCTAGTTCAGAAGGACCTCCTAACTTCCTGTTGATCTCACAGGCAGTTCCTTGAATACTTCTGTAGTTTCCCAGTTGTACTTCGAGTGATGAAGCAGCTTTGCAAACCGCCCTTTCCCTAGGGGTCTTTGATGTGCAGGCTCCAAGCACAGAAGGGCAAGGATCAGGCTCCGGGGAGCTGTGTTCCTGGCTGCCCAAAACATTCTACTGCCTGGCCACAAGAGAGCAACAGGCTCATCCCGCTCAGTGTGTGTGCCGCAGAGGCTGCCATAAATGTACATGGCTCCGCTGGGGCCAGTACATCTCCCTGGGCTTTCACTGACGGCATCAGCAGCAATGACCACCTCTGTGCTTTGGTAGTGAGGGCCGTGCTTCTGTCTCACACAGAAAGCCCAACTGCAGGGAGGCCTTCTAGACCTCAGAGGTGGAGAAAAGGATGAAAGATCTTTCTCCTTCATTGAACATTGAGCTGCTGGTCTCCAAGGAAGGGACGTGTCACTGTGTCACAGCATCAGGGAACAAGTCAACAGCCGAAAAGTCTGCAGCCTTAGAACATCTGTGGAGTACCATGATCCCCTCTGCACTGACCCCACCAATGGCCCTTGACACGAGTGGACATTCAGGCAGAGCACTCTCCCGTGACTCCTGGAAACAGGCTGAGATTTGATACAGCAGAACTTAGAAAAAAAATGGGAAGTGGTCTCTTGAGTTTCCCAGACACTAGGTACTTCAATCCAAATAACTCAGACAGCCCCTTTGTTATCATTGCTGCCCAGTCAGTGGGTAACACCTGTCCCTTAGCCCTAGAAGGTTAGTCCCTCCTCATCCCCTTCAAGGAGGTCTTTTCAAGAAACTCCTGTAGTTATTTCAGGTGCTTGATCCCGGATCCTGGATCCTGGATCCTGGCTGGGTATTCCACCAATGTGGAGAAAAACGTGAAGCGCTCCTAGGTTCTCTACCCCAGACTCTAACCTACGAGGCAGCTTGGGAAGGACATAGTTTTTGAAGCACCACAGCTTTGGGTCAGGAATGTATGGCAACAGCTGGCAAAAAGCACTGTGCAGTGGCCATTAACCAAGCCGCAGCACTTTAGCAACCAGCAAGGCCTTTCCAAGCAGTAGCTCTGCCTATCGTGTGCAGGTAGTAAGTCAAGAGCAATCTAAGTTCACGTCACCTCCGGCCGGCACCCGACCACCTGCTTGCTGCACCAATCGTTCTAAAAATGTGCACCGGCTTTGTTTGAATCAGGAATGGTAAGGTTCAGGGACACAGAAATGACTGTCATGAAAGATGTTTATACACAGAGCCTAGGAAACAGGAAGCAAAGCCTGTCACACAGAGCCACTGGGAAAGATCTGTGTTGGTCAGGAGGCAGGAAGAGAGAGCCCAGAGCCTTTATCGGGGTTTTCATACAAAGGAATGGTTGAAGCGGGTAGGCAGTCCAAGGAAATACAGCATCAGATGGTTTGACTGCTTTTGGTGAGTTCTAGGTCATAGAGATGATCTCTGACTCGCGTAATCCAAGGCAGGAGAAACATTAGCATTGTGTGTAAGAGTTTGGTGAAAGACCAATTGGGCGTGTGGCTCTGGACTGGTAAATTTGTATCAAAAACATACAGGGATTCCTCTGTACCTTCTAGGAATGTGCTAGTCCTGGGAAGGGCAGTCTCTCCAGGATCAAAGTCCCACATGTTAGAGCTTCAAAAATACAGAAAATCCGAACATAGAGCCAACACAAGGCTATGCTGCAGTAAGATACAGTCGCTGGTCGCACGGGCTTTTAGCACAACAAATGTTTCTTTGCCAATATTACATGGCCCATAATGGCTGGGGACAAAGGGTGAGTCTGCGGCTCACTGTAGTCACTAAGGGGCCCAAGACGGTGGTCGACTTTGTGCCAACACGTGCCTCCACAGTCACCAAAGGAGGAGTGAAGGAAGGGCCAGATCGTACCTGTGATTTTACAGCTTCTCAGAAGTGGCAGACAAGTCACATGGCCATGCGTGCTCAACTTCACAGAGGACAGAAAAGTCCAGTCTTTTTTTTTTTTTTTTTGGTTTTTCTCCGGTACCGGGAACTGAACTCACGACGTTGCGCATGCCAGGCAGGCGCTTTTGCCGCTGAGCTAAATCCCCAGCCCCAAAAAAGTCCAGTCTTACGATATGCTAGGAAGGAAGAGAAATGGGATTTTTGCAATTGGCTCTTATGACCACCCTGTCACTTGAATGGAACTTTTCTTTGTTTAAGACAGTTTTCATTCATCCACAAAAGAACAGTGAGGAATACCGAGCACTCCATCACAGTGCCTTTGCTTAAGATAAACCTCGTCACCTATGTGGCCCATGGAGGTATTTGAAACATTTCCCAAATGTATTGCTTTCACCCTATCCCTGAGAGTTGGTGGAGCTTTATTCATAAGTATTTGTGCATTTTACTGAGAAGAAGGGAGCCCAGAGAGATCCTGGGCTATTTGAAACTCAAATCTAGGTCATTCCATTTAAAAGCCAGTGGTTTCACCATTTCTCTGAAGATAAGAACACTCAGCTCTTGACAGATCACTTAAGTCATCCCTAACCTGGCAACTTTCAGCTCCCCCTCATCAGTCCTGCCTTACCCTTTCCAAGTCAGGGCTTTCCCACACCAGCCAGTTCCCTGCACAGCCGCAGTGAGCATCATTAGTCAAGCTCTGTGGTCTTGGGGTTTACAAATTTCCAGGAGCAAGTCCAGCCTTTTGGGGAGAGGCTCTCTGCTGTTT